ACACCAAAATGTAGCCTGAAGGGTGCTGTATTCTCCCCATATAATTGTTCGATTGTTTTACTCTCACTCTAAACTCATACTTCAAGAGAAGTTTTCTGAAATATGATAATTTTACGGACAATATGATTTACTCTAGGCTGTATTTTTATGTAATTTGAGCATAGGTTGCTACGAAAACTCGTAGAAATATGCAACAGAAAAAATGTTCATTTGCAAATCTCCTTGAAACGTAATGAATATTACATAGATAGATGTTCCTCCCCCTCCCGCCATTGCTCTATGTAATGAAACTAGGAACCATCGTGAGTTATTCAAAAAATGATGTTTGGCATTTAAAAAAAAAATCTGACAATAGTATCTCCTCTCGTAAGACATAATTATACCACAAAACATTGGTTTTTTCCTACAACACAAAATTTTCAATTGTGTTATCTAAGAATAGAAAACCAAATACTTGCGCCATGAACTAGTTTCATTGAAATTTTTATTTAAATAAAATTCAAATTTGAGAATAATCTAAGGTAGAACATGGTATTTTGTTGAAAAAATATCACAGAGATTGACATAACTCAACATGAGACACCTATGATCACGAATATTTGTGGATTTTCTCTCATCTCAAAAGAACTAACGTAAGAAGATAAGACTCATCATAAAAGTAATTTACCACTTAGTGAAGTTCTCTAATGAAATAAGTAGATCATCTTGACTAGTATTTATCATTAAAATGCTATGCAATGAAAAAAACTTTTTTTTTGTTCATTTCTGAATCGATTCAACTATCGGATTGATATTCATAGAAGTTTCAGCAAAAAACAAACAAATCGTGCTTGAGATATTCTATTTCTAAAAACCAATGGATTTACAACAAGAGAACATAGTAATCTAGTCTACTTGGAAATTGAATATCTCGATAAAGACATGTTCATTTTTATTGAAACTTTCAAGACTATCAAATTTTCCCTATAAAGAAAAGCTCTTTATTTTGAGTTTTTCGAAAATATTTTTGTCTGAGTAAATATCCTTTAAAATTTTTCTGGGTGTTACTGAGATCTACTTGTCGAAGAACATTCAACATTTGGACATATTTTCTTGTAAAGTTTCTTTTGTAAACGATGAATTTCAATGTCTATTTCGATTGACTTACATCATCCGAACTTTCTTCCATATGTTGCATTGCAACAGCTTGTTGTGGAAATATCCCCGATGCTGCTGTTTTAATAATTGTCTGCGGTTGTGATTGTTGTTGTTGTTGTTGTTTATTTCGATTTTTTTTACTTGATTTACTACTCGATGATGAATGACTTGTTTGTACTAATTTTGTTGTATCAATAATATCTAAACGATTTTTTTTATTTGGTGATAATGGTCCATTAATTGTTTGTCCTGTATGATCATCTGATGAACGTATACGTTTATTTGATGTTGGTGATGTAAAATGACCTATAGAATTTGTTATTTGATGATTAAGTAAAATATTTTCTGGTAATGTAACAGAAAATTGTGGATTTGAATCTTGTTCATGTTTAAAAAGTAAATTTTCAATTTCATTATTTGTATTTGTATGTGATGATTGTAAACCATTAACAATAAGTGTTGATGATGTTCGACGATTTATTGTTGATGTATTATTTGCTGATTCAGTCATACGACGTTTTTCTAAACGTGCCATACGTAATAATGGTTTTCGATCAACTGGTGATGCTATACGATGAGTTTTACGTAAATGATCACTTAAATTAACAACCCATGTATCACAATTAGGACATCTAAGAAATAAATAAAATTTCATTTTTTTTTTTGTTTTTTTGAAGAATTTTTTTTGTTTGATATACCGTAAACGTGTTTCATAATCATTTGGATGTGTTTGATTATTAGTATTTGATTCATCATTTGAAGATGATCGTTGTTGTTGATTTGATGAATTTAATTGAGATTGTGATGATGATGCAACTGATTGTTGTTGTAATGTTGATTGATCATCAATTTGATTATTATTATTACTTGGTTGAAATGTAAATGTTGTTGGTAATGATGTTGCTAATGGAACATCAGGCATAAGTGATTGAGAAAAATGAACCATAATTTTCTTTTCTTTTTTTGTCTTAATAATGATTATTCATAAAAATAATCTGAATTTTAATTAAAAGGAGATTTTAAAAAAATTAAGTTTATATTAATTATCTTACAACGATTATTTCCATCAGACTCATTACATCACATGTGAATCATTACAAAAAAATATGTTCAACATGAAAAAAAAAGTTTTCCATCATATGGAAAATATCGTTGTATGATTTAAAGGAAAGGAGAAAAAAAAGTAGTTTTTAGATTTAGGATCTTAGGTTTTGTTCCATTTTTTTTTTTTGTTTTAATGTGTTTTTTTTGGAATAGAAAAATGAATATATATATACATATATATAGGAGTGAGAATGCTTTAGTGAATAACTAATTGGTTTTGAATAAGTTATTAATATTCAACGACGAACAACTATAGCCAGAAGTTTTTTTTCAGCCATATACAAATTGATCCTCCATGTAAAGAATTTATTATTTTTTTAATGAAAATATTTTTTTTTTGACTTGATTTTTATTTAATAAAATATTTTTATTATGAGTGATTAAAATAAAAATAAAAATAAAATTTATAGAAAAAAATGTAAAAAATGTATGAAATATAGATGTCACTAGGAAATGAATAAGCTCTTTTTTTTTAGGGATGTGAGACTTAATCGGTTGTTTTTTTTTTCTGTTAGAATCTATCGTTGATATATATTTTGAATATAGGATGGAGAATAATACTTAAGAAAATTTCATATGATGCCAGAAACATTCAATTTTCTTTATTTTTGATTAAAGATTGACAGGTTCAGTTCTAGTTTGAATCTATTGAAAACATTCTCTGATCTGAATTGATTTATTTCAACAGTTCAGCTCCTGGAGCTACTCTGTTCGAATAATTTTCTTTTTTGTATCTTGTGAGAAAAGCATTTCCGGATATAAAAAAAACTTTTGTTTCGTTTTTGAGAATGACGCTTCCGTTTATACGAAACCATTGTTATGTCACTGAAATGTTGCTCCCAAAACAGAACAAAATGTGTCAAATAGATCAGTTTCTATGGGAGCAACTCTTTTATTTATTTGATTTGAACAGTGGATCGATCAGTATTTTTTCGATGCATTTCTGGAGGGCATCAAACCCACATTTTATAAATATGTATTCCATTAGTTTTTGAATAACTCTAAAACGCAATGTAGCTAGAGATCTGCGGTTTTCACTATTCGAAAGATCAAAGTTGGGAACGTGAATCTATTTTAATGTTAGATGAATCAGTTCATAAAAGTGCTTGGTACCTATTAGTGGCGGGGCCAGAAAAAAATTTCTACCGGGAAATTCAACCTTTGTTTGAGGCTGAAAAGTAGGTATTTTCTTCGACTATCATTTTGAATAGTGTCATTTCTGAATGAAACTGAAAAGTTTCTGAAGAAGGTTGAGCCCCTTCTGGTTCCATCAGCAGCATCTGTGTCTTGAAAGTTGATTGGTGGAGATCGTAGTAACATGTTTCTTTTTTGGATATTCAATCTCGAAAGACAACTGATTTTTTAAAGCTTATTTTAATGATTTTAGATAAGTTTATTGTAAAATGATAAATATATACCTTGTTAAACGGATTGAATTTTACATAGATTCATGTTGCCTGTGTTAGTCTTCCGGATGGTGACAACTATAAGTTTCTAGATCTTTACTTTCTGGAATTATTCAAAAAACATAATAGAGCACATTATATTTCTAAATGAACAGATTATGAAGAGTCTATTATTTAAATAATTATCTTTTCAGTAATTATTTATAAAGAATATATGGTTTTAACTCATTTCATAAAACAAATTTTCATCGTCATTAAATAAATTATAGAATACATCAATAAAGAAAATTAATGAAAGAGAATTTTCTAACAATAGATATTTCACTTTATCGGTAGTTGATGATAACATCACGCTATAAACTTTGTGTAAGTCAAATATTATCTTCGAGTATTTTTGAAAATTTAGATAATATTATACCGAGTGTCTTGAAAATCATCTTTCAACAAAGAATTTGAATATCTCTATTAGACTTTAATCAAATCCGCTAAGTTTTTTTGTCTGATGAGAAAGGGAAGAACGAAATTTTTATTCTTATGAGAGGTATTCATAAGTAATGTTGAAAGCTATCGATTTTGACTAAAATTTTGAAAACTTCTTATCTAAAAAGACGCTATACAAGGTGTCAGAAATACAAAACTTTTCTCCTAAAAATTCATACCACAGATATAAAAACACATATATTCTTGATCAGATCGTCGCGTTCTATCTTGCCATATATAAGAAAAATTCTGCTTTAATTTTGCATTTCCGGCATCTTACAAAGATCCTAGAATTTCCTACATATGATAATCCCATTATGAACATTGTATGCGTTCAGTTTTAGGTCAAAATTCGATAATAAGTTTTCTTTGAAAATGTCGAGCCCTATCAAAGGAAGTAGCGAAGTCAGACTTCTATGGGTTTTCGAACTTCAAAGGTTTTTTGCCGAATTTTTCCGAACATTTTTTTACTCTTTGAGATTTTCTGCTTGTTTTTGGATTATCTTCGATTAACATCCGTTTCTTACTTGATGAATTCTACGAAAGTAAATTCAGTACAAATTGAACAGCTCGGTTAACACGAACCTTCTGTTCTAGCACCTTTTTTTGGAGATATATTTGTATATGTATGATCAAGTTTCAATGAAAACATAGTCATTCATTATAGTATAGAATCCTGTTTAGTTTTATTTTATTTTCATCTATAGACAAAAATATTGGAAAAAGGTCCAATAATTTTGTATCTTTTTTTGTTTGTTTGTCGTATTTTGGAAATATATGAGAGACGAAAAAAGACTAATTAACATGAAAAAGAAAAACATTATACAAAGGCTAAATCACATTAGAAAAGACAACATAATATAAATTGTTCGTTTAATTGAAATAAAAACCTCGTTCTTTACATGCTGTCATTAAACGAAGTTTAAGAATTTCTTCACCTGAATAATCCGGCAATTTGAGATAATGATAACAAGTATTTACGGATGGATATGAATTATCATCAGCTTCAACTTTACGTGCTACAGATAAACGTGGTCGAAGATTAGCAAGACCTAAAGATTATTTGTTTTAATATTCAAACGTTATCATAAAACTAAAACAAACCTCCTGGTGGTAATGATGAACAGCCAGTAATAAATTGAACGACAGATTTTCGTTCAAGTCCATCGAGTGCTAACATTACATTAAGAAATTTTGTAAATCCAGCACTAAAGAAAACAATAAAATAAAATCAATAAATAATAATTTATTTTTTCTTTTTGATTTATTTTTTTTCAATAATTAAAAACCTTTCTCTTGTAAATCCATGACTAGGTTCAATATATGTCAATAAATCATCTAATGTCCATGATGGCCATTGATTACCACAAAGAACTAATTGTAATTCATGTGGATTAAAACATTGTAAATGATCAAGAGAAAATACTTGATTAAATCCATCTAGAAATAGATGTATTAAAATATAATTTAGAAACAAAAATTCAAATATTTTTGTTTTCAAAAAAATATACTTCGAAATGCATCCATTTGATGTCGAATACCATCACGAAGAATAAATTGAAGTGATAAATCAACATATTGATCAATATTATCAATAGTTACATCCTAAATAAAACAAAAAATAAATAAAATAAATTTATTTATCTACAAAGGATGGTGCATAAGAGGTCAAATCGATCTACTAATACTGCTTTTGATCAATTCATCTATCTCATTTGATTGTTCTTTTTCAAATGTTACAAAATCATATATTTTCTAAAGTCAAAAAGAAAATTCCTAAGCATAGCTTAAACAATATTCAGAAGATTTCGATTAGAAAAAGTTCAAATTGAGTCAAAATTAATATGATATCCATAATCAGCATGAAATTTTAAATTGATCTAAGTGCGATTTAAAGAAATTCTATAACTTTTTTGTTTTCGTTGAAAAATTTTGCCCGTGATTTTCTTCAGGTACCAGACAAAAATCGAACTCAATGAAAATCTCGATTTTATTTTCTAGGCATCTCTCATTTTGCTATCTAATAGCTTTTAACAACTTTCAAGGTTTATGTGTAATGTGCAAATAATGTTTTGATGTAATTTTGATTATTCGTCTGGGACCATGGGCAAAACTTTTCGATGATAAAAAAGGTTTCAGAATTCCTTTAAATTGCACTTGGGTCAACTCAGAATTTTATGTTGATTCTGAATATCATATTAGTTTTGACTCAAACTAAACTTTTTCTAATCAAAATCTTCTAAATATTGATAAAAAAAAGATATAAAATCGCTCTTGGAGAATAGGATGCTTAGGAGATTTTTTTGATTTCGGAGAATATATGATTTTGTAGACTATCACATGAGCAATACCATAGTTTTGGTCTTTTCAATTTTTAAATTAAAATATTTGTTGAAAGATAAGTGTAGATGATAAATATGGTACATATGTTACCAGTACATCAGACTTATATTATCTCGTTAAATTAAGCAATCAATTAGTGATTTAAATATAAAATTGAAACACCATCAAAGAGTTGCTAAATATTTTGTCTTGCCTGCTTATTCTCAAATTGAATCCACCATAATGCGATGGATTATTAGAATAATGACCTAAAATGTATTATTATCTTGATAGCTTCTAGATTTCAAAATTCGATCAAGACCTCATGAAACTAGTACGAAAATATTAGTCTCAACATGCTTGTTCTATTGATATATGATTCAATGAGATTGGCCAAGTAAAGTACTAGAATGCGCTGATTTGATCTCTTATGATATGCCCCTACGTCTCCTTTCTTACAATATGTGATCCATTTGGAATTAATTCAACTGATTGATATCCATAAGTATTTGATGGTGGTGAATAAACAAAAGTTAAACTAAATATAAATAATAATAATAATAATAATAAATCAATCCGAAATTCAAATTTCAAAATACAAACCATAAATGTTCAATATCAACAGGTTCATGTAGATTATTTTCAATTTTTAATAATTGACATAGAAATTTTTTTTCTTCATTTGTTTTATTTTCATCATTATTAATTTTATTTCGTTTTTCAATTAATTGTAAAAGTTTTTTAAAAAAATTTCCTCGTAATGGTTCAATCATAATTAAATCATTTAAATCAAGTATACCATCATACCATATATCATTATTAGATTTTGATTTCATACATAAAAGTTTTAAAAATGATATTGATAATGGCATATCAATTAAATATTTATCTAATAAACATTTAGCAAATAAAATACCCATTAATGAAAAATAATTACAAATATTATTTAATTTTTCATTATCTTGTGAATATGATGCAGGAAAAAGACCTTCTAATTTTCTAACATAATCTGTTTGATTATGTTCATAATCATCATGATGCCACCATAAACCAAGTGAATATTTTTGTAATTCATTTGAAATCATTGCATAAAATTCTAATGTTGGTCCATCACCAGTTCCTTCTTCATTTAAAAATTGTATTTCTAATTTTGATTTTAATTTAGCATGATAATGAAATAAATTCATTGCATCACGTAAAATATTTTCACGATCAATTGAAATAGCACGGTCAATTTTTAAACGACCAAAACGAAAATCATGTAAAGAATTTTCATTTGATAAACGTGAACGTGAATGATTTGTATTACGTATTGTACGTATTAATTCTTCACGTCGTTCTTGTAACCATACTATTGAACGTGATGTACCAAAACTTGTTGTACGAAAATATAATTGACGAGTTTCAAATGGATATAAAAATTTATATGAATGTATTAAACATGATGTCCATGATGGTAAACTTGATGATGCTATAAGAATTGAATCTTGAATTTGTTGTAATAATTTATTATTTAATTTTTTTGAATAAAAATAATTATCAAATGAAAAATTTTCATTAAAATGTGGATTACTATGAATATAATTTATAGATAAATAATATAATTGACGAAGTAATTTAAGTATATCTTCAATTGTACAAATATCTTGAAGATTATTTGATGAATCAAAGAGATTTTCATTTTTCAATTGAATTGTCTAGAATAAATAAAGCGAATTTTGGAAAATCGAAAAGCAAAAAACAAAAAAACAAAATCATTTTATTACATTTGATTTGGATTGTTCATGAGATTTTTCAGTATAGATTATCCTAAAAATAAAAGATAGACATTCAAATGAATGTATAACTCACAACAAATGAACAATCTTCAATTTTGTTTAGGGAGATCTTCCTTAGAGCGCTGCGAGTCCTTCCAGATCCGGACGAGGTTGGATCCGGGCTCAGATCCAAAGCTTTATTTTTTTTGTCGGGCTCAGTAAGACGTTTTTGTGGGTCCGCTGCTCCTCAGCTGAAAAATACAGCAACAAGATATAACTGTACAGTGAACTTATGGCCTTGAGAAGAATCTTTCTAACTTCATCACTATACAAGATATAGAGCTCGGCGTGGTTTCAAATTAAAGCCAATAGCCTTGCGCAGTTTTTTGTCTGAATAAAATCTTGAAATTCGATTCCATTAATTGTTTATAATCATTTTAATATATACCGTGTTAACGTACGCAAAAAAAAAGTCATTTGACGGCAGTAAATCTCACTTTTCTCAACTATAAAAGATCTGGTAGGACAAAAGTTTACTCATATTTAGATCTGTAAAACAAAAAAAAATAGTATTAGTTATATGTTGAACCAGGTGGAAGTTATTTCAATTTTTTTGATTAAAAATCATGTTCTGAGAAATAACACTAAATAAGTTTAGACATGGATTTTTTTCATTCAAATCGGAGGAAAAAAAACGTTAAAATGGAATTTTTAAAATACCGAAATTATATAAGAGTGTTTATTCAATACTGATGCAAGCAAAACTAAAAAAATTTTACAAAAAAAACACGAAAATTTCTTGGAAAATAGGGTAGTAGGATTTTACTAGTTTAGACACCAGTCTCAGATAGAGCGTTGCCATTAGTTTAGACATGCATGTATAGAATTACAGTGAAGACTATGAATGCATGATAAAACTACGATGATAATATTGAATGTGTGTGTATTCCTTGTTTTGGCCCAAGAGAAAAACCAGTGGTTTTTTTTCGTAAGTCCTTTGCATTAAGGCCTATCGACTTCATGTTTCTGTTTGCAATCACGATTTACCGAGCTCTATTTGTAGTAAAATATCAGACAAAAGGATTAAATTTTTATTCGGTAGTAGAACTTGTTACGCTTAGTGTATGTGTTTGTTTTTCTATTTTAAAATATCAATTAAGAATATGTTGAAATCGAACATAATCATGTTATTTTTTAAAATTGTTTTAGAACTTCTAGATAAATCTGTATAACCTGATGGATACGAGAGAAAATTTTATGAAATCAAAAAAAAAAAAAAAACAATGTTCTAAAGATAAAATCTTCTATCCTTACGTATATGTTGGTTCAAAAATCCGTTTAATACGTTCATTTCGTTGCGATGATGGAAATGGATTAATTAATTGTTGAACATAGTTAAAAATTGTTGAATCACCATCATCCATTTCAATATCAATATCTTTTAACTAAAATATTCAATATATATATTAATAAAAATAACAAAAAAAAAAAAATATCAAATACAAACTCCTGTTATAGATGGTGATGGTCCTCGAATATATAAAGTCATATTAGCAGCTGTTAATGCATCTGTATTTGATCTTCGTTTAGTTGAAGTTTCTAAAAAAAGAAAAACAATTTTTTTTTCGATTTAAATTAATTTATACAGATGTAGTCCAAAACTCATCGGAGAGTTTTGGACCACTGTGTATAATATTACCTTCTTTTGGTGTCATTGTTGTTGGTACAGGAAAATCTTGTGTTGCATTAATATTTGTTCGACCTGGTCGACCATCAAATGCTGGAAGTAAAACTAAAAATGAACAAAAATAAAATTTTTTTTTGTATTCTAAAATATGATTATTTACCAGAAAATTGTCTTTTTAAAACAAAATCATCATCCCAATTTCGATGTGTTATTTCTTGTTGTTGACCATGAAGTTGTTCTTGTAATTCTTCATTATATTCTTCTTCGTCCTAAAAACAAAAGAAAGAAAAAATTAATTTTGAGAAAAAAACAATTTTGTTTTTTTGTTCTATTGTTACTTCATCTTGTTGTTCTTCATCATCATCATCATCTTCATCATCTTCAACAGGTGCTTCGATTTGTTCATTAGTTAATTTAAGACATTTTAATAATGTTTGTTCATCATCTTCATCATCGGTTGTTGTTATTTCATCAGTTTGTTTTTGTTGTTGATCAGATAGATTTGTTGATTCTTCAATTCGAATTGTTTCATCATCAATAATTGGTATATCAGCTATATTTATTGTTGTTGTTGGTGGTGGTGTTGTTAAAATATTTAATGATGAAATATTTGGAACACTTGAATTCGTATCATTTTCTAATCTATTGGATTTTTTGCAAGAATGAAAAATAAAATAGAATTAAAATGAAAAGAAAATTAATAAAAACATACAATGTAATTCGTTGATCAGGACATTCATTTGTAGCATTTTTCTTATTGTTTTCTTCAGTAACAGTACATAGAGGTTCTACTAAAAGTTAAAAGAAAATGATTAAGTATTAAGTTTTAATCTTAATTTTTATTATTAAAAATTGAAAATTAATGAAATATTAAATCTCATGATAGGGATCTATGGAATTCATTGAAAATCAAAACTAGTAGCGTAACGGAACTAAGGATGCAACAGTCTCAGATTGATCGGAAGAGATCTACTACGAGAAAATAACTGAATTTTATAAAATATGATTAAACTATTAAGCAGAGATGACCATGACGACGCTGCCACCGTGATGAACATCTATGCTATGAGAACTGAGTTTTTCTTAAATAAAAAAAAATCGAACTCAAGAATTTCGACAAACCTCCTATAGGTTTGAATCCTGAAAATCTTTAGCCTATCTTTATAAAATTTAGTTGTTGTCTTGAAACGACCTTCCCAGATCGAAAAAATCGAAATCAATTCAAGATCATCACAGTTTCATCATGCGTTCAGGTGTGACGGAGGTAAAATGCGCTGTTGTCACCAGTAGTACGATGTACCTATGAATGGCGCATCATCACTGTTGCATTCCTAAACTAGATGGGGGCTAATCCTCCAACTACATTACAAATCATCGAAATTGGTAAAAAAATGGGCTTGCGTCTCATCTATAAGATCTTCGTTCGCTTGAACATTTTTTAACCTTTAGCTATTGTTGAGAACCCTGAAATTGCATGGCATCCAAAAAGAGTCTTCCAACAAGTTTTTTTTCTTATATCCGATCAACATTAGGAAGGACTAGTGTGATTTATTTTTCTAGATTTGTTGAAATCATGAGATTTTGTCTGAATTAATCTATCGATAGCAGACAATAAATTTGAACTGTATCAAAAGAAAGACATAATTCTGAAGTGTTAGGCCCTATTCTCATTTGGTCTTCGGTTCTAGGTGGTGTTGTTGCTCTTAACAATATAGCTTTATCATGGAACATAGTGAATCTGAGAACAGCTCTTTTTCCTTTTTAATAATACCTGATTCTATAGTACTGCTAATCGATTGTCTTAATTGAGTTGTTGAGCAATTATTATTTATTTCATCTAAAAATGACAAATATATAATCGAATATTCCTTTTTTTTTTTTTTACAAAAGCAAACCTTTTGAAATAACAAGTATATCATCATCAAGTCCAAGTTGATTATTAGTATTTTTTGTATCTGAATGAATTGGTATAATATCATGTTCTGATGATGTTTTTGATTCTGTTTGTATTGGTTGTACAAGAACATCGTATTGTTGTGATATTTGATCACAAAATCCTTCCATAAGCTGAAAACAAAAAGAAAAATCGCAAGAGAATTCAATAGTAAAAATTAAAAAAAAAACATGTTTTTGATTTACTTGAATAAAATTATCTGTAGCATGAGGTGATGAAAAAAGATTATCAGCACTTGATGCTTGTTCAGTTGATGAAACTGAATGTGTTATTTCATCATTATTTATATCTGGTGTTGAAATATTTTTACGTTGTGAAATTAAATTAAGTAAATTCGTATCTTCGTTTAATGTTTTATCACTAGTTAAACGTGTAAGAGCTTCTTCAATTACTAATCGTAAATGTTCGGGATCATTTGATTCAAGAACTTAACACACAAAAATACATAAATAAATAAATAAATAAATTTTTAGATAATATCTATTTACCACTTGATAAATCAGTTGGAATTGATGAAAGATCAAATAATATTTGACTTATAGTTGATTGTTCAGATCGATTATCATCTGATCTATTCGAAGAATTTGATGTACTCATACTTGCTAAACGTCGAAGAATATGTGATTGCATTTTACTTGTACGTGTACTAGTTGATGATGTCGAATGAGAATGACTATAAGTTGGTTTTTCACGAGAATTTGTTGAACGATTTCGAGTATCATCACGTGATGAACGAGAACGATTGAATTCAGGTTCTAAAAAAAAACACAGAGAAATTATTCGAGTTTAGTAAATTTTGAAATAAACACATCAAGAGAGCTGTGAATTCACGTTTTGGTGAACCCGACTGAGTCTATATCCGTGTTTAACTTGTTTGATGTAAACTCATCCTCGCGATAGACGATCCTGAATCTTCTATTATGTTCAAGCATATAAAGGTTTCAAGGAAATCTTGTATTGTGTTCTATATATACTTTTTCATAATTTTCAATTTAAAAGAACCAATACGATTTTGAGGATTTGGGATGGGATTTTTAAAGTAAGCTAAGCATATTTTCATGTGAATATACTAAATAAAGTTTCAATTTTATGAGAAATTAATCATAGATGGAACCGGTCCAGTTTTTTCAAGACCGGTACTGGTACCAATCTACTGGGTTTTTGCTGGTCTATCAGTATGAACTGGTACAGTGAAAATAGATCGATTCTTGCAATGAAATTTCTTTTAAGAGTAAACTCTCCTAAGTCTACAACTTAGATCATGAACCTGAAATAACTGAAGAGTTGTGTGGAAATATTTAATATGTGGTTTTTGGTTCAAGAAAAAAATATCAATGCTAATATCAATCTATTATTATTGTCAATAAAGATAGTGCATGCTTTGTTATGCTAGAATGTTGGAAACAATGAATATATTTTAATAATACGACAAAATCATATTTGATGTGTTGGTATTACGATTACTTTTATTTTTGAATAGAAATATTAGCATACAATTTTTGAGATATTCCAGATTCGTGATCTAAGTTGATAACTTGAAAGAGTTCACTATCACAAAAGAAATTTTCATTGTAAGAATCGATCTATTATAGCTATGCCGGTAGACCCGTCGATCGGCCGATCTAAAATCCGAACCGATCAGTTTCATCTATGGAATTAATTCATTAAGAAGGAAGAATACTCCTGCCGTTAAGCTACCTAGCCGCAAATTCGATAGCCCGATATCTTCCCTACTATTATGACTAGCTGTAGCTCTGGATAGAAGATCAGTCTGGCGCTTCTCATACGCATCAACTAATCACAGGAGCAGGCATATATCACAACATAGTGAGAATGCTACTGGACGAGTGATCCGAGACAAAAAGTCATTAGTCACTTATTCAGGGTCATTCCATGGCTGATGGTATTAAGGTTTGCACATATTGCTTTATGGATATGTGCCGAACAATTCAGCCATCCCGTCATGGCAGCCAATTAATTCATTAAGAGCAGTCTTCTATTACGGAAAAGAGTTTAGTAGACACTCTTTCCTTGGATCAGCTGATTTTTTTTTTGTATAGATATAATGAAAATTTTTATTGTAAAATGAACTAAGTATTCGAAACTATCATTAACTTATTTTTCATAGAAGACTATGTAACTTCAATTCTATAGATCATTTTTAAAACAATATTAATCTTACTTGAACGAATATCAATAGCTGAAAGTACTTGTCCATAAACTTCAAATCCAGAAATACAAACTGAACTACGAGAAGATTTTTGATGAATACGTATATAACGAAAACCTGTTGAATTTTCAGTTAAATTTTTAACTATCCATGTTGCTGTTGATGAATTTATATCATTAACTAATGATGTTTCACATGGTAGAAAATGTGAAGTATCTTTTGATATTTGAAATAATAAATTTTTTGTCCAATTTGTATTACCATCTGTTATATGTCTTAATGTAAAATGTGTTGGAATAATAAATAAACCTAAATCAATTATAATCCAACTAAAATTATAATTTGTATCGTTATTATCATCTATTGATGATGTATATGAAATTATATCATATAATTGTTGAGATGAATAATTATTATCAGAACAACTAACTGAAAAATAATGAAATTAATTAATTAATTAATTCATAAAAAAAAGTAAACATAGTTATTTAAATGAAATAGAATTGATACCTGAAATAAGTCCAGTTGAACATGGATTTGTGTAATTGGATACAGTTTTACCATTAGTACCAATCCAATATAAAATTCCATTTTGATCAAAATCATTTGTATATGTAAATGTTAGTCGATTATCTAATTTTAATTGTTTAACAAATTCAAGATTACTATGAGGATAATCATACCATTCTTTTAAAACCTATTAAAATAAGATCAAATTTCATCAAATGATAAATCGGTTTTAATATGAGTTTGAACTCATAAGTTATAGAAGATCTATTGAGATTAGTGAAAGTCTAAAAAGATTTGCTTCCATAAATCTTTTATCTTAAGTTATAGCAATGGTAGTGAGTTATTCAACTATTGTGACAAAATTAACTATGGAACTAACGTTTTCTGTGGGATTATTATGAAAAAAGATTGAATTTAAGGCCACCCTTCCCCTCAAAAATCGATCTCAGGCCAGATACATTCACATCGCATGAAATTTTCAGGATATGTTGGGGTTGTTAGTAGGGCGACTATAGTAAAATTTTCAGTCCTGTACTATGGCCTGTGAGGAAGATATGCAAAAAACAAGGGTTAAAAGATAGCTCATTTCGTCTCTAAAAATTCTCTGTGATCTTCAGTCTATATACTTCAACATAAGAATAACAAAGCTTCATTCAAAAAAACGAGCTCGCAATTTTGTACGCTCTTTCAAACAAAAAAAAAACCTATTGGTTACAATGAAGTTCCTTCGAAAATTCTGAAAGATACGATCGAAAACCTATAAAACGAGAAAAAATGAAAAAAGATTTTCGGTTTTTTTCAAAAACAACTTATTTCTCGAATAAAGGATAATGAAAATCTTCAAAAATTTTTGGAGAAAACGAGGCGCCGAGGAAAAAATGTTTGCCATTTATGAGAGATTGGATCACTGGCTATCTTTTCCTGTATTTATCTTAATTTCGATCATTTTGAGCAGGAGAAGCGAGGGCTAAGATACCTATCTTTAGCTCCCATTGCAAACTTACCGTAATATATTACAAATAACATCTTTCAGAAGGTTAGAAGTCCCAAACTGAAGCGTATCCTACATAGACCCTTAATTTACAATATGTACAGATCAATCGTGTTTCACATTTCAATCTCGCAGGGATTGCACTAACAGTTATACTATTAATCAGATAGTGTCTAACCAACACTTTTTCATTGGGAACAATATCTTTTATGGTTATGTAAAACTTGCGTTGAGTTTTATTTTGTTATAACTCATGTGTTCTAAATAGATATGGACAAGATGCTCCCGATCCCGATGCAGTCGGGATAGGGATCGGAATCATTTTTTGATCGGGACTAAAAAATGACTGTTCGCGGTCATGTCTAATGAAGATGGTAAATCTTGTATTGGACATGAACTTTTTTGAATGATCGTTTACTAAATGTATGATTTGTTCTTTTTCTCTCAGATCTTCTTTACTATCAAAACTTTAAATCAATCAAAAATCTATAGATTATTAATGTTTGACTAATATTACTTTCCAAAGTGAATATACTGATTGTTTTTTTTTTTTTGAAATAAAAATCTAAGAAAATAAATAATTTTCTTAATAAAATCTTTACCATTGATGCAAGAAATGTTTTTAATTGTTCTACTGTTGTTAATGGTTCAATTTTTAATGATTTTCCAGTTCTATCAGTAAATAATTGTTGTTGATTTTTATATTGAATTTGAAAACGAAAACGTTTAGAAAATATTTGTAAACCATAATTAAATGGTGCATCATATAAAAATAATGGTAATTTTTCAATTGATTCTAATATTAATATAAGTTTACGTATAAGAATTTGAAATGCTTGTGGTTGTTCATCCGAAAGAAATATTGAACAAAATAATTTTGCACGTTCATATATATAATCATTTGATGATAAATGATTATTTTGATAAGATAAATCTTGAAAAATTTTCAATAAAATTGATACTAAACCTGATGATGATAATTCATATATAGATAAATTTGTTTTTTCAATAAGAAATTCTTTTAATTTTTCAAATAAATTTTTTAATTTATCAAATGAATTTAAATTTAATTCATTATTTAAATCATTAACAAGTTTTTGAAATTCTATTAATATTGAACGTGTATAATTTTTTGGTGAAAAATTTTTTAAATATTCATTATAAATAAATAATGCTATTTCACTTGTACGTTGTTTTATTTGTTCTTGTTTATTTTTATTAACTGTTACAGTTGTTGAATTATTTGATGATGTTAAAGTTTCAATTGTTGACCATGGTATTGAAAATTCATTATTTAATTGTACATCAGCTTCATGTTTATGATGTGAATGACGATTTGATTCAAAAATAAAACCTGATTGACCATGTTCAAGAATAGTTGCCTTGAAAAACAACAAAAAAAAAATATTTAAAATATAGAATATTTCAATTCATAAATTTTTACAAACTTCTAAATACTTTATCAAAAAAAAAAAAAACTTTTTATCTGTTTGAGTTATATGACTGATGTTTATTATTGTTATGAACATTTTCTTGATAGCTTAACTTCTTATTTCAAACATACTGAAATTCAATAAATATATGTGTGTAGAAAACTCATCGATTGTTCACTACATGCGCTTATAACTTGAAAAATGTTGTCAATTAAATTTTGGTTTTAGTTTTTTTATCAAATACACGACGAATTCTTGATATCGTAATATACAACTGAAATTCCGCGTATGATTGTTCTTGATTTCCAAAATGAGCTCATTTACTAAAAAATTTCTATCCCTGAATTTCTTCCAATATTTGAAACAAATACGATGATTATCGGTATGCTATTTCCCTTTAGTAAAAAATTCTTTTCTGAAACTTCGAGCTTAGCTATTACTGACGAGAAAAGTCCTCCAACTGATAAATCGCTTTTGACTTGAGACTATGTGCATTATGTGTACCCGAATAAGTTGTGAATGCCCTAAATGGATTTCATCCCCTTAGCTTATTGCTATGGAGATGCTACACTTTTATGATATTTTTTAAAATGTATGTAGGAACAGCAGAAAAATTGATTTTCGAATTTCGACTTGAAGCTTTGCATAGAGGTAAGTCTTAACGAGAGTAGTTTATTGTGAAAGTTTCATGTCTTCTGATTTGCTTCTATCCTAAAATAAGAATAATCAAATCTATCGGTTTATGTATGAGTGATGTAAACGGCATGATAACTGAAACCTGATGAGATGAAGACTTTTGTTTATTACTATATGTAATTTTGATTTTTTTTTGTTATTTTATCTAACCTGTTCGCCTTCAACATTATGAATTTGAATTTGTGTAGGTCCATTACATTGAATTGTCCAATTTCCAATAGTAATTATTCGTTCATTAGAAATATCTGATGTAAAAATAGTTCTTGCAATAATAATATTTTGTTTTTCTGTATCTTTTTCTTGTCCAATACCATCAAGAACTTGTTGTTTTAATCGTTGAAATTTTTCAATAAATTCATGACGATTTTCATCTGTATCAATATTTGTTTCTGGACTTCCTACAAAAAAACAAAACAAAACAAATCTTTTAAAATAAATAAAAAAGATAAACTATATATATATATATATAAACCTGATGAATACATTGTTGATAAAGAATTATTAGCAAAATATCTAAACCAACCATTTGAACCAATTGATAATTCAATAATAATAAAACTATTCCATATATATAAACATTCACGATTACGTAAAAAATTAAATTCATTCCATACATATGGTCTATAAGAAAGTATATCTTTTGTATCAATAGGAATAATATTAATTGTTATTAATTGTTGTAAATTATCATTTATATTATCATTTGATAATGCTAATGTTGTTATTTTTGATATTAAACCTAAATATTGAAATTGTTCAAGAAATAAATATCGATCTTTTTCAAATAAATTTTTTATTATTAATAAAACAATATTTGATGTATCATCATCATCTTCATTTATATTTAATATTGTTGATAATAATTCAAATATATTTATTAATATATTTAATTGTCGTATTTGTTCAATTGTTGAATATTGTAATAATTTTGATATTAAACGTAATGTACTACGTTTTATTGTTAATATCATTGTATTTTGATATAATTGACAAAATATTGATAATAAACGTTCTAAATAAATTAATTGTATTTCAATATTATCTTTTGTTTGTTCTTTAATACAATTATTTAATATTGATTGTTTTGTATCATTCCATTCATGTGATGATTGAAGTATATCAATAACTTCTTGATGATTATCATCTTGTCGTTCACGTGCTTTATCTAATGCTGTTCGACCATCTTCATCACGTAAATCAATATTAGCACCATATTTTATTAATATACGAACAATTGATGGACGTCCAAAACAAGCAGCATAATGTAATGATGATGAACGTTGACCACGATTAACATCAGCACCACGTCGACATAAATATTCAACCATTTCACGTGTACCAAATGCTGATACCCAATTAAGCATTGTTTGACCAACATGATCAGTATAATTAATATCAATATTATTTTCTTCAATATAATTTACAAATGCTTGAAAATCACGTGAACGAATATATTCAATTATTTGTTGTTGTGAACGATCAGATGGTGTTGTATTTGTTGTTGATGATGAATTTTGTGATGATTCATTGATTGGAATTGAAGGATTTGTTGTACGTAAAATATTTCCTGAACGAGCAAGTGTTTGACGTCCTAAAACAAAAAAATGATTATAACATGGAAGTTACTATTTGTAGAGGATATCTCCTCAGATTTTCCCTTCTGATTTCAAAGGTTTTTTGCCTGTAGATACTACATACTATTCTAATAGAAACTCTAAAACGATTTGGGTTGCTATAAGTTTTTTTTTCTAGAGATCTCAGGTTTTCGAAAAAGTCGTATTTTGATCTGAAAATTTGTGCATAGAGACAATTCAATTAGACTAATTTACATTAGGAAAGTCAGAAGTTTTCAAAAAATGCATGTTATATAAACAATCTGTGGAAGAGAGTCGATATATTGTAAGTTTCATATCGCGAAGAGGCTTTATACAAAATTTTCTGAATTTTTTTTTATAGAAATTAGTCGAGTTGATTTCTCTATATGCACTAATTTTCAGATCAAAATTCGATAGCTGATTCAAATCTCAATGTAAACCAACATCCTTTTAAGAGTTTTTATTAGAACACTATGTAGTATCCATAGTCAAAATCGTAAGAGAACATTTAAGAAGGTTTCCTCAAAAGTCACTAATTAATAGCGTCTGTTTCTCAGTACTCTTAACAACTATTAGAAATTACATGTCGTTCTTTTATTCGAAGCGTGAATTATAATATGAAATGTCAGATTTAAACATGGCTTTAATATTCTCAACAAACATTCAAAAATTTTCCCTTCCCTGTCGATGCAGATTTTTTTTCCACATGTGTATAATTCTATTCGATGAAGTTCAATTCTTTATATTTAAAAAAAAGAAAAGAATTAACATTATAAATATAAAATCTCACCTTCAAAAAGTAAACCAATAAGCAAATCAAGAAATCGCATTATATCCAATATACATCGTTCATCACCATTACATAATGCTGATTCAAGTGCATCTGGAAGATCAGAACGAAGTAAATCATGTGTTACTTTTGCACTACCACGACAAAGAGTCGATAATAAACCCGTAACAACTGAAAGATTTGTTATAATACCACGTACATTCGATACATTATGTGTTCCTGTTGAATCTGAAGATGATTTTGATACATGATGTAATGATCGAAGAAGAACATCTTTTAAACCATAACGCATTAATGGTTCAGGATCAACATTTTTTCTTGAAAATCTATTCATAAAAAACAAAAAAATTAATAAAAAATTAAGTAAATTCTAAACAAACCTATCAGCTAATGTTGCAAAACATCTCAATGCATTATCAGCTACAAATGGATCATCATGTAAAAGTAAATTTGATAATGATTCAATTGTTTGATCAAGTGTTGAAGAATTTTGTGGATCAATTTTTCCAATTAATTTAACAACAACATTTAAAGCTGATTGTAAAGAATCTTTATGTATAACTGAATAACAATTATTAATAAATTCAATAACATAACGTAAACCATCTTGTTCATATATACTTGATGCTTCTCTTAAACATAAACGTTCAAATACTTTTATAATTTGTTCAGCTAAATCTTTATTTGTACGATCTTCAATATCAACAATTTGTAAACAATTACACATTGAACGTATAACTGTTGAATGTGATATTATTTTTTTTGCACAATCAACAGATACATCAAGAAAATATGTTAAAGCACGTGCTGTTACTTCAAGAACATGTGTTGGAACTAATGGATCATTGAGTATATCACAGAGAGCTTAAATAAAATTAAGATAGAAAAAATGTTTTCTTGGTTCTTATTTAAAAATTTACCAGGAAGGAAAAGTTGAGGTTTATACCTAGAAAAAGTAAAATATAATTAAATTCATAAATTATTTTTAATAAATACATACTGTTCAAAACATCGATCGATATTATCACTCATTAAGACTAGCATACCTAAAGACAAAAAAATATTTGAAAATAGAAAAATTTTTTTGCAATTTATTTTATTTCTCTTTCTACCAATTGAACTAAGAGAGTATAGCTAAACTTATATTACTATGAACATTAATTATCATATATTCATTAACAAATAAACTTACATAATTGTTCAAGTGCAATCATTTGAAGATCACGTTCACTACTTCCATCTCCTTTAAGCCAAGCTAAAAGTTCATCTGGATCAGCTTCCATTGTGCTGTAGATTATATTTTAAAGTATATATCTTAAAAAAAAAGAGATTATCAGATTTGAATGTCTAGTTTTAATAGTAATCATTTATTTGAATATTCTAAAAATGTCGATAATTATCAACGAAATAATCTTTCTTCATTGTGATTTTGCAATAATTGTAGTAATCATACTTTTATTGATAAATAAATGGAAAGCTTCAACGAAAAACAATAGAACATGAAAGTTCGAGAAGTTTTCTTGTTTGAATCATCCGAAATCTTTCTTTTCTTTTTTCTTTCTATATTTTTTTCACTTTTTGAATTTGAATTGTGAAATATGATCATCAGCTGTTGACTCGCTCTCTCGAATGTCATTTTTCCACATCATCGACCTCTATTATATTTTATATAAAATTCTTTTCGAAATTAGTGACATCTACAGAAAGAAAAAATTTGTTTCTATCCCATCCCATGTCTATACGACACGCTACCGACACATGTGTCGACACAATGACACGATGGAGTTACATGTAACGATATGTGTCATCACAGTGATTTTTCTGTACGGCATGTGTCGACACATGTATCGGTAGCGTGTCGTGGATAAATAGCGATATAGTATGGATGAAGGAAAGGAAAGAAAAAAAACGTATCTCTTTTCGTCTATATAAATTTGAAACTTCGTCCGTATAAGCTGAAAATAAATTATTTTTTTTTAATTAAATTGAACTTTATTTTACATTTTTAGATCTTGAAGTTTAACAACAAATATTATATAAAATTTTTTGAATAAAATTATTAATAAAATTCACGTAAGTTTTTTTTCTAATATAATTTAATCTTATTTTCTTTTTTTTTTATAAATTTATCCAAATTTATTCCAAAAACATCTCCATTCTACGAATAATGCAACTGTGTATGGCCTCTGTTTTTTAGTTATTTTTTCATGTAAACTCTTTTATGTACATGTTATTTTTTAACGTATATTTTGTTTTTTTTAGTGTACATTTTATTTTTTTTATTTATTTTTTTAATGTATATTTTTTTAATGTGCATTTTATTTTTTTTTATGTACATTTTATGTCAACACCTGTGTCAATAGTGTATCATTTCTGATGGACTATAAATATGGATATAATATGAACAAAATGGCAGGAAAAAATAGTTACATTGTTCAATCTTATTATATAATTCATCCTGTAAATTTTAATCATTTTTTTAAAAGTTTTTAGATTGTTATATAAATTATATCATTCATGTCAAATATCGAGAATCAAACAAGTAAAAATGAATTTTTGGATTATAGTAAGTTAATCCTTCCAAACTCTAACATAATTGATTTTTATTGATTATTTCAAACTAGGACGATTGTGTGCGAGACAAAGACAAAAAAAAAGGAGACAACGATTAACAAATTTATTCAGTCTAGATAATAATACACGTCTTGATTTATTTATTACAGAGAGAGGTGGTAAATTGATTTATTTATTAATATCTCGATTTATTATTTTTTACTATGTTGAATTTATAATAGTGTCTGATTTTTCTGTTGAAGAAAATGATTTTATATCTTCTGATGTTGATGCTGATAATTTACAAAGTTTTGATTATGATGATAATTTTCAAAGTCTTATTTGTAATAGTAATTTACAAAGTGTTGATTTAATACAAGATCTTGATTATGATGATTATGTAGAAACTCCTCAAGATGATGATTGTGTACAAACTTCTCAAGATGATGATCATGTACGAAATCCTCAAGATGATAATTATGTACAACTTCCTCAAGATGATGATTCGTTGTTTGATACACTTTTTGATCTGAATGAAAGTGAACCAACAATAGATTTACACATTGCAAAATATATATGTGAAGCCAATTTAGATAAGACTAAGACAAATGAATTATTAACTTTATTAAGTGATGTACATAATCAAGATGAGTTACCACCTTCATCAAGTATCAAATTATGGAACAAGTTGAACATCAAATTCGATTACGTGAAGATACAATATTGTACAAATTGTAAGATAGAATTAGTACCTGGATCTTCATGTGGTTGCAACAAGCGCCAGCAACCAGTTTTGTCAGAATTAATAATCTTTTCTGTTGTAAATGAAATTAATCGAGTTGTTAAAAACAATTATGATCTGATCTTAAAGTATCGAGAAGAAAAGAATAATCTACAACATGATGTTATTCACGGTATGACCCAGTTGGATTGAGTAGAAAAAGAAAAAGGATGAGTGAGATGCTAGCTTTGTTTTTTTTTGTTGCAGGAGAAATTTATAAAAAACAGTCAAACAATAGTAAAACTCCAATTACATTATTGCTTTCATGTGATGGCAAACCAACTATCAAATCGAATAAATCTTCCTTATGGCCGGTAAGTGTTTCGTTCTTTACCTGATCGCAACTGCTTCTGCAAGTGATAATATGAAGAAAGGTGTTGAGCTTTGAATTTCTTTAGACAAGAATGCTTTATGTAGTTTTGATAACGGGACTGCCTGTTTCTTTAAAGCAATTTTTTTGTTGTTATTTTACTTGAAATTCAATTTAGTAGGCGAATTCTTAAAATTTGTTTTACTTTTCAGAAACAGATGCGTACTTTTCTTGACATTTTCGATAAATTTATCTAGTATAATTTTGGAATTTTCTGTGTAGGTATTGGCCAGTATTGTTGAAATACCAAGGCCGTTTCGTGAAAATGAAGAAAATACAATACTTCTTTGTCTTTGGCATTCCTCATGTGGTCCAACAGCTGAACAATTGTTTGGCCGTATTGTAAATGATTTATCTCTTTTGTTAACAACTGGTATAGATATTGATATCGGTGGTATAGGTAAGAAGTGCTCGATAGAGAAAAATGACTCTTTCAATAAAGTCGCATTCATTTTTTTCTCTCCTTTTGCGTTTTGTCACCGATAATATTACTACAAGTTTTTGTATATATGCATCTCAAAGAAAAAAATAATATTTTCCTCGAACACTAATACTCATTGAAAAGTTAACATAATTCATGCTATGAGACTTTATATAGTCAAGAAAGCATCCATTTGATTTAGAAAAAAATATATATATAGCTTATATGTTTATGCTTACTTAGGCACCATCCACTTCGACTTATTTATTCAAGGTGTATGTGCTGATGGTCCAGGTCAATCCAAAATTACCGAGATGATATCTCATAATGGATATTACGGTTGCCGAGTTTGTGAATTTGAAGGAATCTATCATCATTCTGATCGAACTTGTACTTATCCATGGTCTGTATATGTACAAACAAATCCACCTTTTCGAACAAGAGACCGATTTGAGTCTTGTCTAAAAGAAGCTGAATATCTGAAAAATATTGGTGATAAAAATATTAATGTTTTTGGAATAAAAGGTGTATCACCATTAAATCGTCTTCTTTTTATTCCAACTCAATCAATATATGATTATTTCCATTTGTGCTTGGAAGTAAGTTTGCTTTCGTCTCAATTGATTTTAGTTTATCAGACAGAATACATATCTCCTCAAAGGTAGCACATAGTTCAGAGAAATTCGTTCATAGAATTTTTTGAAATACTTGAAACACATCAGAAAATAGTTAGATTTCAATAATAACAATCATTGAAAATTGATGTTTGAATAATTTCTATTGCTTATAGAGGTTTAAATTGTAAAACAAGTTCTACCATGCAATAATAATCAGAAAAAGACTTAATGACTTATTTTTTCTGTTAAATTTTCCTTTAGGGTCATATGAAAGTATTGCTAAAGGAATGGAACGATATACATGTTGGTACAAGTATTGAAACATGTGAAATTATTGCTCAATTTGATGATTTCTTATGCAAAATAGATTATCCTCATTCAATTCATCGCCGAGTTCGGTGTTTTCGATCATTTAATGATTGGAAGGCAACTCAACTTCGACTATTTCTAATTTACTTGGCTTTACCATTTCTTTTATTCTTTAATCATTGTTTTCCACCATTACTGATTTATCACTTTTCATTATATGCAATTTATATAAGAATTTTATGTCATTTTAATGAAAAAAAAAATGTTTATGATGCACGTCTATTTATCGAAACTCATTTACGCCGATTTTCAGAATTTTATCCCATGTCAAAACAGCTTCTTTCAACACATTGTAATATACACCTATGGCAGCAAGTAATTCGCCATGGGTCCCTCACTGCCACCAGGTTTGATTCATTTATTTTGCTTTTTTGATTGAAAGAGTGTATGAATTTGTTTTTTGTTTTTCCAAAGTATCAAATCAACGACTGAATAAAGAGTAGACTATATTTCAACTGTAGTTTAATATATTTGTTGTTGTAAATAATTATCAGCAAGATATACTCGTACGCCTAAAAGAAACAAATTATGTTTAGCGTTTTACTAATTTTCTTAGTAGATGCTTATACATATCTCTAATAGAATTCGTATTATTCTTTGTTTTTATAACCTTCTCTTGCAGTATGAATATTAACTACCTCTATCTTTCTTGAATATAGAAACGAAGCGATTATTATGTTCTATGACCAGAGAAGAGTGGATTTTAATGAATAATATGTTGCAAATTATCATGCATTAATTTATCATTGTTTTCTTTTTGTAGTATGTTCGGAGCTGAATCATATTTGAACAGGTTATACAAGCTAGCTCACGGTACGAGAAGTATTGGCGAACAAATTGCTTACTGGTACATAGTCCATCGTTCGGTACATTCCATGTCGATTCAGCACCAAACAAATATCACTATTCGTGACTGTTTACTTGATGGTTATATTGATGAAAATATCATTAAAAAGTACAGTCAGCATTTTGAAAATCTGTTTTATTTAAAGTTTTCTTGTACTTGCGACAAGTCTGTTCTTTTTCGGTCTAGATACAAACAATGTCTTATCATATATCATTCTATTTCTTATTCCTTCCGTAAACAATCATGTAGCTTCAATATATGCTTTAATAATAGTAACTGTTCGAAAAAAAAATGTTTTGGTAAAATTATCTTTTTTTTTTTATTCCAGGGTGAACCATTTTTCTTTCTCTCTTTTCATCCATGTTCACTATCTCATCTGTTTTCTTCTTCTATTCCCATAGACGAGCAATTGTCTCTTTGGTCTGTATACGTGGATCAATTTTATTATCTTGTTGATGCAAAAGTTAACCATTTCTGTATATTACCTTGTGCAGCAATTCTTTCCAAATGTTTTTTTTTTCCTTTTTGTGATAATCGTTTTATTGTCTGTACTCCTATTGATAATGAACTTGAACATGATTGAAAGAAAAAAAATATTTTTTCTCAACATATTATTTTTTTTCTAGATATTATTAAAAATAACCGTTTCATTTCTTCATCATTATCAAGTCGTTTAACTCCAGGTAAATTTTATCCTCTTCTTATTCTTCTAATTGTTGAATTTTTCAGAAAATGTCTATGAGCACTGTCTCAAAAAACAATGCTTCACAACGTGTCGTCATTGCAAGTTCACCTTCTGCAAGTCAATATCGATCTTCATCTGAATATCAATCTTCATCTCAACATCAAGCATCATCTCAATATCAAGCATCATCTCAACATCAAGCATCACCTCAATATCAACCATCATCTCAATATCAACCATCAAGTATTCATCAATCTCGAACTGTTCACCGATCTTCTAATGCTCATCAACTTTCAAGTGTTCATGAACCTTCATATGTTCGTCAACCTTCAGATGCTCATCGATCTTCTACTCAAACCACCAATTATTTTGGACCTATTCGTTCTTCTATTGTGCAAGGTAAGAATGCATTCTCTCTTTCTGTCTTTAGTTCTGATTGAGAAAGAATTCGTTATGAAGATAAAGTTAAAGTTCTTCATTCTTTTTTGAAGGATTATGTTTTCTCATTCTCACTAGAAAGTGAAAATTTTTTTAAAATAAAGAAGAGGAGTTTTACTGGAAGATGCCATAGAAATAACTTAGGCATATATATTTTGCATATCAATAATGATTTATCGGTTGTAGATCATTCACATACATTAACTTCATCTTACAATCAACAACGTGCGTCACCGTATACCACCAGCTCTCCACGTACAATACGTCGTCAAGGCATGTGTTTTTATATTATTCAAACTTATAAATTTTTTTTTCATATCGTATAGGTGGTATGTCAAATCACGAGGTGAATACTCAATCTAATCAATGTGAAGAGGATTTTACTCGTCCTGCCCGTCTTGTTACTATTGATGAAAATATACTTCATGTACTTCTCGAACGATATGCCACCATGGAAAACGAAATACGAACATTAAAATGTACAACTAATCAAATTTTGAAGATTGCTCGCAAGTCTGTCAAAGATCAAGAGGTATGAGCTTTATTTTAATCATATAGTGTAATCTTTAACAATTAGCAATCGGATTCTTCGAGCAGCAACTAAGATAGAAATATTAGATTTTAAAACTGGTTGTTGTTTATGATCTATGGATTATAATTGGTTATAATAATATGTGAGTATATCAGATTTACAGATATCGAAGCTTTTTAACATAATTCTCAATCTTCAATCTTGTTTCAACCGATCTACTATGAGATAATATATTTAATTATTTGAAAAATAGCACAAATGCATTGCAACACTTTGATCTTTACAAGCATCATATATCACTAGTCTTCATTAGTGTTTTTCGTTCATTTTTAGCTTTTTCCAATTTCACGACCTACATCAAAGTTGATTCCAGTTGTGAGTATCTTTTGATTTTTGAACTTGTTCTAATTTGATGAATAACTTTTTACTGTAGTTTTGGAACGGACAGAATCTGCTCGAGAGACCTCGAACAGCTTTACCTACTACGTTTTTATGTAATTTAGTACGAAAAATGTATACAACTGATGAGATAAAAAATCGTGTGCCACAATTGGAGCCTCAAGCTGATGATGAACGATTAGAAAAAATTAAAGGTAGCTTTTTCTCTTTATATGACATTTTTTCTTTTTCATATTTATTATATATATTTATCTATTAAAGAATGTCTGGTCCAACTGTACTTTTCACACAAACCATCTTTGGTTAACGAATTCATGACTTCAAAAGGACATGATAGCTTATATTGTCAAGAACGTTCACAAAAAAGTCGAGATAAGTAAGTTATTTTTTTTGCCTCTTTCTATCATTTGTTTCTTAAATCATTATTTGCTCTACTTCAGTTCTAAAGCAAGAACACAAATGGCTCAAAATAATAACAACAACAATAATAATTATCACAATAATAATAATAATAATAATAATAATAGTAACAACAATCAAAATATGGCTTCTAATCAAATTAAGATAAATAACAACTTGAATGATTTTGATGTTGGTCCTCAGATAGATACATTTGATGATATTTAATTAGACAAAAGAATCAAGTGCACATCAAGTAACAGGTCTTTTTATCTTATCGATCTTATACACATTTATGTAAAACGAAATTTGTTTTTTGGCTTTTTTTTTGTTGAACCTGATTTATTTATCTATTATTCTGCTCATCTGTATACTGACAGTTATATATATTTTATCTTTTTTTGTTTTCTCTCATTTGTGAACAGAAATTCTGTACATCTCATACATGAACTTAGCGGTCTAGTGTGGATAAAGAAAAGAAAAGGAAAGAAAAAAAAAACGTATTTCTTTTCGTTATATATAAATTTGAAACGTCGTCCTTATAAGCTGAAAATAAATTAATTTTTTAAAATTAAATTGAACTTTATTTTGTAGTTTTAGATCTTAAAGTTTAACAACGGATATTATATTAAATTTTTTCAATGAAATTATTAATAGAATTCACGTAAGTTTTTTTTTTATATAATTTAATCTTTTTTTTTTTTATATAATTTAATCTTATTTTTTTTTTATAAATTTGCCCAAATTTGTTCCAAAAACATCTCCGTTCTACGAATAATGCAACTGGGCATGGTCTCCATTTTTTAGTTTTTTTTTTCATGTAAATTCTTTTATGTGCATGTTATTTTTTAATGTATATTTCATTTTTTTTATGTACATTGTATTTTAT